CCCCAAAACCCCAAAACCCCAAAACCCCAAAACCCCAAAACCCCAAAACCCCTCTTTAAATTTGTCTAACTGAAATCCCAGATTTGATGCACAATATGGAGACCTGAGTTCATGAAGCATTTATTAACACATTTAAGCTGCTAGAATTTGAAGAACTCTTCTGTCCGAGGCATTGCCTTCTTTTGAGGAACGTTATTAGGAGCAGCCTTCCCGATTAAGTCCGCACTGGGCTTTCTAGGCACTGAAGCCCTCATCCTTGGCCCCTTAGTACCGGTGTTGGAATTGAAGAATCCCATTGGCTTTGGAGTATACATTGGGAAATGATTCTGCATCCCAAAGCCATTGTGAACTCCTTGTATCGGCCCTTGTATTTGCACGTAAGGGTTCCGACCATGCATGCTATGAGCATGTGGATAAAATCTATGCCCAGGATGAGGCATCTGTCGGGTCTTTGAGCTGAAGTCAATCAGGTTCCCATCATCCTGCTTTTTCTCCCTTATGTCTATCAGATTGTTATCAAATTGAAGTAAGTCATCAAGAGGAGAATCTTTATTAGGAGTTGGTCTCTTTACTTCTTCCTTGGTTTTTGGATGAGCCCTATTCACATTCAAATCAAGATGAATATGTTGCTCTTTCTTTGGTGGAGAGGAGAAAAGATCAAAATCATCTCCAAATTCCTTCTTCACCTGAGTCTCTGCAGGATCATAGCTTGGCTTTTTGACAATAAACGAGGTTGCCTTCTTACTAGCAATAGTGTTCTTAATTTTAGCTTTCTTTTCACTACAATGTCTATGAGCATGTATCTCAAAATAAGCAACGACAGGACGATGGTCTGAAAAATTGGTTTCTCTTCTTTCATAGAGTATGGGAGAGATGTACTGAGAGCCTTTGTCTTTGCTCTCTTCTTCATTATGATGCCACAAGATTCTATCAGTCCAGGCTGGGACTCTCCTCTTCTTTGAAGTGTCATATGTATCTGATTTATTTATCATATTTATAAGTTGGCAAGAACTTTATTGGCATCTCTTTGTAATGGTAAAGCCAAGAATAATCCATTCTTCACTGGTTAAGCTGATCATTATTTAGCAAAATACTCATTTTATCGTCCTTGTTATATTCGGTCATATCATCAATAATTCCAATAACATCGTCATAGGGAAGATTTATCCGAAAATTGAGGTCTCCAAAGAAGATTTTAACATCGTGATTCATGAAATTATATCGAGAAGGTTTATCAGAAAAGCCAGATTCAACAACTTCTTTTAAATTTTGTCTTCTTTCTTTTTCTTTCTTTTGTCCACTTTCGAGATGTGCTCAGCAGAATCAAATTGAAGTGTTGTCGAGCTCTAACCTGACCATAACTCCTCCTTTATTTCCAACATTTCCTCCAAATCCTGACTTAACTTTAGTGGATCAAACATCTGTAATCCTCCCAATAAGATTTTCTTTAGCAAAGACCATGATTAAGAGCCCTACCATTGGGGATTGGGAGACAAACTTGTAGCCAGCTTCTGGGTCTAGATCATCAAGAGCATCCTCAGCATGAGATTTTAGTGCCTCGACCCTTCCTTTATCATGCCCTTTTAATCAATTGAGAGCATTAAGAGGCAAAGTCTCTTGGAACCCTATAACTGCTATATCCGGGGATGGATGAAACTCATCTGATTTGAAGACATTGACGAAATCCATTTCGTATTTAGGCTCATTCCCAGCAATGTTCCAAGAGAAGACACACAAAGTGTAGGTATTAATCTGGGAGTACTCACTTTCCTTCTCTTTAACTGTAGTATCAACTTCTCTCCCAGCCAAGCTTGAGAACTGCTTATGTGACCCAGTCAGGAAATCTATACTGTCTTGCCGGACGTCGTCTTTCGAGTTAATATTGTTCTTAAAGAATCTCTCGATTGAAGTCATCTTGTGAGTAATTTTCCCTTTGATGGAAGTCTTACCGTTTACAGTTACCTCTGTAGAAGTTGATCCAGTACCTGCGTATTGGCGGCTGATTTCGTCTCCATTCTCTGCCCACATTTTTCGAATAGATTTCATACAATTTATCAACTGAATGGCTGTATAATTGTCTAGAAGATTAGGAAAAGGTGACGCACCTTCATCAGGTCAATTATTTTGAGCTTGAGATACAGAGTCTTCATTAAGAACCCCAGCATTCTTAAAGAACTCCAGCTGATTTACAAATGCTTTAAGAGCATAAAACGCTTGTCAGATATTCGTTCTATCCAATCAGTCTAGACAGTTCGTTCTTAATACACCAACTTGTCTTTTGTCAACCCTTCCTCTTTGTTTAACCAAGAAGCCTAGAAAATTAGAGCAGCTTCCAAGTTTCAACTTTTGCTCCATGACTTTAAAATTATTCTTGCTGCATTCTTGATGGAAGTTGAAATAGAGGTATCGATTATTACTTCCAGCATACATTTTTACTAATTCTTCAAATCTTCGGATCAGCTTCATCTCGTATGATCTCTTGTTGTTTAATAAATTTGCCCAGACAAGTTTTCCGTATTCCCCGATCATATCGTTAAAATGTTTATCGAATGCTTGTCTGTCTAATTCAAGTGTCCGAGTGAGGTTAAGGTCAGCACTGATCCCTGTCTGCTCCCAAAATGCAGGTACAGAGCCTCGGATTTGGACAAATGAGAGAATATAGTCTTCAAATTTTAAAATCTGCTCTGTTTCGACAAAATTAGCTGTGTTTCCCTCATCGTCAATTCCTCTGCGAGAGTATCTCGTCCCTGCCATGCCAGTCCTTCTTCGTGATATTAAGGTTAACTCTAAGTTTGCAGAATTGACAATGATTTTCGAGTATCCAACATAACCCTGAATGAGTTTGATTGCCCAGCTAGAGGATATGCCATAAGTCTTGAAGTCCTCATACATATTCCGGTTCCACCAGTATCTGTCATCTCCTTTGCCTCTCTGTAATCTTCTAGTGAGGTCAAGCTCATAAGAGAAGTAAAATCCTGAGCTGAGTAGCTTGCTTATAACCCATCTTCATAAGACTTATTCTTGGTCTTTTTCTTGCCAGATAGTGATAAAATCTCTACCTTCTTGATCTCGTAGATCTCCTTGCCGTCAACTCTGAGAACTTTGGAATCGTTAAGCTCAGAGATTACGACTAGGTATGAGGTAGGGTATATATGCAGGATGCCTAGTACTCCGTAGATTAGCTTCCCATCAGAAAAATATGATGATTCTGAGTCTTCAAAGTCATACTCATGCATAAGCCCAGAGCCTATCTCTATGTTTAGCCCTTTCTGGGCACATTGGCTGCTAGCAGGAATAATTTTGTAATAAATCTGAGAACTTTTAGAAGTCCTCTTGATGAAGTATTCGTATTTTGCCATTATGATAAATGGATTTCACAATTTTTTTAATAGATTTCGGGGTTTTGGGGTTTTGGGGTTTTGGGGTTTTGGGG